TGGTGGATGAGTGCCCTCTGGATCAGGGGCTGCCTAAGCTGTCAGCCGAGGCTGTCTTTGAGAAGTGCAGCCAGATCTCACTGTCCCAGTCGGCCAGAGTCTCCCCATCAAAGAAGTGACTGTTGGGAGGGGTGGGGAGAGTGGAGGAGGTGGCTGCCCACCTCAGGTGCATGTTTGGAGATGTCTGACCATTTCAGCAAGCGTGTCTGTTGCTCCAGGATCTGGTGTACTGTTCTCCTAAAGCTGGGAGGGAAGAAAGCAGCTGCTGTAAGAATGGCTTCCTGCCTCTCCCAGCCAGTCTCTACCAGTCAGACAAGTTTTATTATTTTATTATTTGATCTGCACTGATTTTCCTCTGTTCGAATTTTGATGGGTATGGTGTGATATGCCACTGTCCTAGCAGAGCGGGACTGAAGGAATGTAGACCCCATCTCCATGTCTTCAGAAGGCCCATGGGCAGAGCCAGGTCTGTCAGGAAACCAACTACTTGTCTTCTTGAATTCTCCGTTTCATTTTTTAAAAGTTCTTCTTGAGACAGAGACCCGTCTAGCCCAGACTTGCCTTGAACTTTGTATGTGTCTGAGGCAAGCCTTGAACTCCTAATCCTCCTGAGTGGAATTGTAGTCACGTATAACCAACCATACCTGACTAGTCTCTCATCTTTTTTTTTGTTTTGTTTTGTTTTTTTGAGACAGGTTTTCTCTGTAGCTTTGGAGCCTGTCCTGGAACTCACTATAGACCAGGCTGGCCTCGAACTCACAGAGATCCGCCTGCCTCTGCCTCCTGAGTGCTGGGATTAAAGTCGTGTGCCACCACTGCCAGCCTCGTGTCTCATCTTGCACCTGTGGCTGGACTTCCTATTTCTTTGCCTGCTTCTGTCCCAGGGTCACAGGAAGCCTGAGGAGACCCGGAGCATCAAGAGGTTCTTGGCTTCATGGAGCACCCAGGAAGGCTGTTAGTACCTTGTAGGCATTTTTTTTTCCTAGGAGGGCAGAACTTGATTGGGCCATGGATGTCTCCCGCCTCAGTGGCTCTGGCAGGTTCTCGTCTGTCTTTTCTGGTGTTGCTCATGTTAAAGAAAGCATGGGTGGGTCTTCTGGTGAGACATTTCCCTATCTGTAAATGAGGGTTAGGAGTAGATGTTCCCGGTATCCTGTGACCTGCCCCCTCTTTATGTCCCTCCTCTGCTGTCTTCCCTGGGAGTGCTCAGAGTTGCTGGATTGTGTGTGTTTATTTGTGATTGTACCAAGGGACTTAGCCTCATGTAGCATGTACAGGGATACATCATGAGCCGGCAGCGAGCTCTCTCCCAGTGACTAGTCTGCATGTGTGGTCTCTCCCTCTCCCCCTTTTTTTCAGCCAGCCTATTTTCCCTGTTCTTACCCCATTGAAATTGCAAACAATATTGATGAACTGTAGGATGTGGCAGTTTGGGGCAACCCGACTTCACTTTAGGGTATGATGTCTGTAGCCATTGGGAACGTGAACTATTGGTGCGATCACTGAACCAAAGGGATTGTGTCCTGTGACTTTGGTACTTTGTTTTGCATTTTTGTTTTGTATTAAATACTTTCTTCCTGTTTGAGGTCTTGTCTCTTTTTGTTATCGGGCCTGGAGAGTCTGAACAGCATGCAGCTCACCTAGCTCGCCTCCTTGTGCCCTTCTGATAGTGGCCCCACCTCTGACAAACCCCTCTCTCGCTCCTGCTCTGTTGACTCAGCTGGAGCGCTCAACCTTCCCTATGTGATTTCTGTCACATAGCTGTGCTTAAAATATTCAGTCATGGCCTCAGTTTGGTTTTTGTTGGTTTGTTTTTTGAACAGGGTTTCTCTGTGTCTCCCTGGATGTCCTTGAACTCGCTCTGTAGAGCAGTCTGTCCTGAAACTGAGACCCACCTGGCTCTGCCGTCCTAGTACTGAGATTAAAAGCATGCACCACCATGACCTGGCCTGTTTTGTTTCTTTTTTTTAAAACACTCTCCCAAACTGCCCTTGCTTATCAAACAACTGGAGCTAACTTTAGCAATCCTCCTGCGGAAGCCTCTCCTTGCTGAGCTGCGATGTGAGATGCCCAACTTGTCTTCTCTTTTCCTCATGCTGGGAAAGCAGGTCCAAGATAGACTTAAAGCCTTCGTGTGTGTGTGTGTGTGTGTGTGTGTGTGTATGTGTGTGTGTGTGTTTCTGGTGACTGAACCTAGCCTCATGCACGCTGGGCCCGTGTTCTGCTGCTGCCCTCTTTTTTTTTTTTAAATACAATATTTTTATATTTATTATGTATACAATATTCTGTCTGTGTGTATGTCTACAGGCCAGAAGAGGGCACTAGACCTCACTATAGATGGTTGTGAGCCACTATGTGGTTGCTGGGAATTGAACTCAGGACCTTTGGAAGAGCAGGCAATGCTCTTAACCTCTGAGCCATCTCTCCAGCCCTGCTGCCCTCTTTTTAATGGTTGCTGCCTTTGAAGCTGCGGCTGTCCTAATCAGCAACCGCAGCTCTGCCGCTACCAGCGGCCAGGCTACAAGTAGCGCAGCCTGAGGAAATTCTGTTCCCTCTGGCACCATGCTTTCAGAGAGAACTTTCTAAGTCTCCATTCCCCCTAAAGATCTCGTGATTCAAAGGTTGAGGTAGAATCTTGCTCCCCGGAGAGTCTGAACAGCAAGCAGCTCACCTAGCTCGCCTCCTTGTGCTCTTTCTGGTCCCTCCTTATAAACCCTTCTCCACCTGGCTCCGCCCTACTCCTTCCCGTCAGCTAGTTGCTGGCTCAGCCTCCAGACTGCCGGTAAATTTTATTTAGTCAAACACATCTTTGCATCATTTTTTTTTTTTTTTTTTTTTTTAGTTTTTCGAGACAGGGTTTCTCTGTGGTTTTGGAGCCTGTCCCGGAACTAGCTCTTGTAGACCAGGCTGGTCTCGAACTCACAAAGATCCGCCTGCCTCTGCCTCCCAAGTGCTGGGATTAAAGGCGTGCGCCACCACCGCCCGGCTCATCTTTGCATCATTAAACAAGTGTTCCGAGCATAAATAAAAGTAACACACCTTAAAATAATATTCTACAACAGTCTACCACTGACCAGTTTTAACTTTGTAAGACAGGGTCTCCCTAAATTGCCCAGGCTGGCTTTGAACTTGCAGTCCTGCCTCAGCCTCCTGAGTAGCAGAGGTTACAAGCCCTCACCAGAACCTGCTTTTAAAAGCTACCTGCTGGGGTTCCAAGATGATGTGGACAGAGGCACTCAGTGCCAAGATGACCACCTGAAGTTGATCCTTAGGTGGAAGGAGAGTACCAATCTCACAAGATGTCACACACACTAAATCATATTTTAAAAATAAGTTAAACCAGCTGGGCGGTGGTGGCGCACACCTTTAATCCCTGCAATTTGGGTGGCAGAGGCAGGCGGATCTCTGATTTCAAGGCCAACCTGGTCTACAAGAGCTAGTTTCAGGACAGGCTCCAAAGCTACAGAGAAACCCTCTGGGGACAAGGGGGCGGCGGTGAGGAGTAAAAGTAAAACCTAGCTCCTAAGGAACTGAGGCAGAAAGATCACCCATACTTTCCCCCCATCATACTGTTTGAATGTAAGACACTGAAAAAAATAAAGGTTTGGGGAGCTGCCTTTGTGGATAGGCACTTATTCAAGCAGGAGGACCCAGGTTCGGATCTCCAGAACACACAAAGGCTGGGCGGATTGTGCATCCAGCTCTTGGGAAATTGCTGGGGTTAAACTGGCTAGCTAAAACTAGAAAAATCAATCAGTGAGCTCTGGATTCAATTGCATAGCCCAGCCTCAGATTTTCTGGAAAAGATTCTTATCCATCATTAGCTTCAGGCTTCCCCAGGAATGCAAAAACATAAAATTATCTTTTAACACCCCCTCCCCTTAAAAGAGCGAAACAAGGGACTTCCAAGTTACGAAGAATCTGGACTAGAGAACAACAAACGGCCACCCTAGAAATCTCACTCTCCACCCGAAAGCCCGCCCCCACACGAGAGGCTGGGCTTTGGGGCAGACCTGCTCCTTGGGAGGGGAGGTGGCAAAACCTGTTTGAAGATGAGGTTGCCTCCCTTCCACACCTCCTTAGAGGCCAGAGCAAAGGCTGAAACAGAAAAGGAAAGAGTGGTGGGGGCTGGGGTCACAGCCTCCTACCCTTCATAAAGTGTTGAGAGAACTCGGGACGCCGAGGAAGATGGGCACTGTGCAGGAAACGGGGAAACTGACATTAGGAGGAGCAGGGTGAGTAAGGGCTTGCCCTGACTACAGGCAGAGAGGGCGGTTCCTACCAGTCAAGGCTTCCCGGATTCCTCAAAGAAGAGGGACAGGGTGGTTTGAGGCAGGAACGTATACAGAATGGAACAATTCCACAGTTGAAAGTTCCTATCTTACATCGGATAGACCACCTTTCTCTTACTTATCAAACCCCCACTCTCTAGAATGGAAATCTGGCCCAGAGCTGAATTTTTTTCTTTCTTTCTTTTTTTTTTTTTTTTTCCGAGACAGGATTTCTCTGTAGTTTTAGAGCCTATCCTGGAACTAGCTCTTGTAGACCAGGCTGGCCTCGAACTCCCAGAGATCCGCCTGCCTCTGCCTCCCGAGTGCTGGGATTAAAAAGGCTTGTGCCACCACCGCCTGGCCAGAACTGAATTTATACCCGGGTTCTGCTTCCCAGTGAATCTGTCCTTTCTCCCTGTCTTTAGACGGGCCTCATTTTCCCAGCACAGTGGAGGGAAGGCGGGGCTGACCAGGTGCCATCTCCTAGTGCTTTTCTCAGGGTTAACTGGCCAGGTTTGTCTGGGCTCCCGCCAGTTGTGGTGTGGGACGCCTTCCGTGCCTACACTGCAGGTGAAGTCACTATCACAGAGGCACAGGGATTGCCTGATGGCCCTGCCTCTCTGCTAAACTCATCCGTAGGTGGTTTGATTCAGCCGAGTGGAAAAGGTAGAATGTCTGTATACAGAGACGAGTGTCCTCTGTGACACGTTCTTCCGCTAGTGTCTGCCACCTGCTGTCTGGCTCCTGTAGGATACTGAATAGGTTGTCTCATGATCTTTTCTTCTTGGGGGCCGGGGCTGATGTCAGGGCTGGGGAGAAGGCAGGAGCCGCAGAGCCAGGAGCAGCCCTGAGACTCGGAGAGCTGGAGCTGAGGGAAGAATGGCAAGACGAGGAGTTTCCCAGGTAAGGGAAGAGCCTTTTGCCTTCCTGTGGCTCTTCCAGAGGACCCAGATTTGATTCTCAGAACCCACATAGTGACCCACAACCATTCTTTACTCTAGTCCCAGGGGATCTGACACCTTCTGGGCTCCAAAGGCGCCGGGCACATGTGTGGTGCACAGATAAACATGTAGGCAAAACACGTAGCCACAGAAACAAAATCTTTAGGGGAGGGGAAGAGGCAAGGAAGAAAACAGTCAAGGTGGAGCGAGAAAGCTGAGGACACCTGCTGGGTGCTGGCATCTAAGTCTCTGTTCCATCCCTGCACGCTAGATTGCTTCCGGAGGAGGCTGGCTCAGCTGGAGATCCCGAAGACCCTCAGAGAGACTCACAGGCCGGTAGGGCAAGGCAAGTGGGAACTAGACCTCGAGTCTGACTCTACTCCTGGGGCTGTTTTGTTTTTTGTTTTTGGTGTTTTGTTTTGTTGGTTTTTTGAGACAGGGTTTCTCTGTGAATAGTACTGGCAATCCTGGAACTCACAGAAATCCTCCTGCTTCTGCCTCCCAAGTGCTGGGATTAAAGGTGTGCACCACCGCCGCCCGGCTTCTGAGGCTGTTTTTAGGCAAGAATCTTTACTGTGTAGCTTCTGTCCTTTGCAGTGCTCTTTCTCCTTTCCACTTGCCCTGTGTCTCTTTTCTGTCTCAAATTCACGGGTATTATCTTTGTTGTTGTTTTTGATTTTTCGAGACAGGGTCTCTCTGTCTGGCCCTGGCTGTCCTGGAACTCACTCTGTAGACCAGGCTGGCCTTGAACTCACACAGATCTGCCTGCCTCTGCCTCCTGAGTGCTGGGATTAAAGGCGTGGGCCACTACTGCTTAGCTGGTATTAGCTCCTTTAAAATTTTTATTTTAGGTGTTTTTTGTTACTGTTGTTTTGTCTGTTTGAAACAGTGTCTCCCTATGTAACCCTAACTAGCCTGGAACTCATCTGTAGACTAGACTGACTTTGAACTCAGAGATCTGCCTGTCTCTGCCTCAGGGGCACTGGGATTAAAGGTGTGTACCACCACACCTGAGGTATTTTTTGACAGTCTCTACTCTGTAGCCCACGTGTAGTCTAAACTAGCCTCAAACTGGCAGCTATCAGGGCCAGAGAGATGGCTCAGTTAAAAGCACTGACTGCTCTTCCATTTGATTACCAGAATCCATGTGGTGGCTCACAACCAGGGGATCTGACACCCCTCCCTGGGCTCTTAAAGCAACAGGTACACATGTAGTGTAGAGACAAACATACATGAGAAAAACCCACACACATAGAAAGAAACAAGCAGACCAAACTTGCAGCATCCTGATGCCCCTGCCTCCCAGTGCTGTAGCTGCAGATGGGAACCACCACTCCTGGTTTCACGGCTTCTGTATATAGAAGTCCTTGTGTGTTCATTGGTTTGTCTTGATGTAGAGACTCATGTAGCCCAGGCTGCTCACTATCTTTTTTTAAAAAATATTTATTTATTATGTATACAGTGTTCTGTCTGTGTGTTGCCTGCAGGCCAGAAGAGAGCACCAGACCTCATTACAGATGGTTGTGAGCCACCATGTGGTTGCTGGGAATTGAACTCAGGACCTTTGGAAGAGCAGGCAATGCTCTTAACCTCTGAGCCATCTCTCCAGCCCTGCTCACTATCTTGATTCATAGTCAAAATGGCCTTTAACTTCTGAGCCTCTTGTCTCTTTTAGTGCTAGGGTCACAGGCCTTTGGCTCCATCCCACACAGGGCTGTTGAATCACCATCAACTGGCACAGGTTTTCCATTTGGGTATTTTTCCCCTCATGTCTTCCAGCCACAGGTACCCCCAGCACGCTGGCCCTGTGTGGCCAGCGCCCTATGCGGAAGCGTCTCTCTGCACCAGAATTACAGCTGAATCTGACCGAGGGAAGAGGAAAAACTGGAGCTTCTCCCAACCATTCTGAATCTTCCTCTTCGGATGGCAGCTTGGACCTGGAGGTGGATGAGCTGGAGACACCATCCGACTCCGAGCAGCTTGACAGCGGACATGAATTTGAATGGGAAGGTAGGCGCAAACCCAAGGATGGGGCTGATAAAATTGAAGCGGACAGAAATGTAGGGCAGGGAGAATGGATGGGATGGGATGTTAGGATAGTAAGCAGGGGCTGAAGTGATGGCTCAGTGGTTGAGAGCACTGGTTGCTCTTCCAGAGGACCTGGGTTTGAGTCCCAGCACCCACATGACAGCTGTCTATAACTACAGTCCCAGAGAATCTGCTGCCCTCTTCTGGCCTTCAAGGGCACTAGGCATGCATGTGGCGCATATACATACTTGCAGACAAAACACCCATACACATAAAATAATAAATAATCCCAAAAATAAATTATAGTAGCTGAGTGGACAGACCAGAAACATTTTCTCAGAAAGGAAAGGAACAGCTTCCAGAATGGACAGAAGATCAGCCAAGAGCTGGAAGGGGAAATTTGTTAAGAAAAAGGCCTAAGGCTGACATGGTGGTTCAAGCCTTTAATCCCAGCACTTGGGAAACAGAGGCAGGTGGATCTCTTGAGTTTGAGGCTAGTCTGGGACACATAGTGATACCTTGTCTCAAAAATAAGCAAAAAAGCAAACAGACTAACGAAAGAAAAATATTGAGGTTAAAAAAAGGGGGGGCACCGGGCGATGGTGGCGCATGCCTTTAATCCCAGCACTCGGGAGGCAGAGGCAGGCGGATCTCTGTGAGTTCGAGACCAGCCTGGTCTACAAGAGCTAGTTCCAGGACAGGCTCCAAAGCCACAGAGAAACCCTGTCTCAAAAAAATACAAAAAAAAAAAAGGGGGGGGGGGCGCTGGAGAGATGGCTCAGAGGTTAAGAGCATTGCCTGCTCTTCCAAAGGTCCTGAGTTCAATTCCCAGCAACCACATGGTGGCTCACAACCATCTGTAATGAGGTCTGGTGCCCTCTTCTGGCCTTCAGGCATACATGCAGAAAGAATATTGTATACATAACAAATTAAAAAACAAAAAGAGCCAGGTATACATAACAAATTAAAAAACAAAAAGAGCCAGGTAATGGTGGCGTACTCCTTTAATCCCAGCACTCAGGAGGCAGAGGCAGAGGCAGGTGGATCTCAGTGAGTTTGAGGCCACCCTGGTCTACAAAGTGAGTTTCACAAAGCAAAGGGTATTGCACAGAGAAACTCTTCTCAAAAAAAAAAAAAAAAAAAAAGTAAATGCCTGTCCCATGCTTTCCTGGACTAAGACTGAATTCTTACTACTGCTGTGTTTGGGACAGGAGTAGGATCTCTATTGTAACCTAGGCTGGTCTCAAACTCAAGATCCTTCTCGTCTTGTGGCCCCCCCCAAGTGCTGGAACTATGGTCACCAGATGCCACCTGACTGGCCTGAGGTTATCAGAACAAAAGGCTGGAGGGGGGACAGGGGGAGGAGTGGGGTGCTGCAGGCCTGTGATCCAGCTCTAAGTCGGGGGTGGAGGAGGAGTGGGGTGCTGCAGGCCTGTGATCCAGCTCTAAGTCGGGGGTGGAGGAGGAGTGGGGTGCTGCAGGCCTGTGATCCAGCTCTAAGTCGGGTGTGGAGGAGGAGTGGGGTGCTGCAGGCCTGTGATCCAGCTCTAAGGCTGAGGTGGGAAGATTGCCAGGAGTCTGAGGACAGTCTAGGCTCCAAAGGGAAGCTTGTCTCCCCGATGAACTAAACAGACACATAAGGTGCCCTGCTCTTAGGAAATCGTAACTGCCTAGAAGTAATCCAGCTGGAGGTCGGGCTCTGTGTGGCTGTTCAGGACAGCGAGGAGATGCTGAATCAAGGGTCACGTTTCTCAGGGTTAGAGAGGGCTGTTCTAGTAGACATAGTGAGTCAGGAGTGGCGCCCTGGGGCGTTCAAAGCTTGAAGCCTGACTAGACACGGAGACCTAGGAGGAAGAGCGTGAAAAGCTAGCGCTGGGTTATGCTGGCAAAGTTTGTGTCATGGTGGCTGCTATGCTAAGGGGTTTAGACTTCCGCAGACAATGAGGAAAGACAGGAAGGTTTAATCATGGGATATCTGGTCACGCTTAATGGCTATAGACTGAAAACAACCTCCTTTGGCAAAGTCCTTGCCACACAGGCATGAGCCCCTGAGCTACATCCCCACAACCCAGTTTTAAAAAGCCAGAGCTGGCTGCGGTTGCTAGCACACATTTTTTTTTTTTTGTCTGTTTGTTTGATTTTTGTTTTTTCAAGACAGGGTTTCTCTGTGTAGCCCTGGCTCTCCTGGAACTTGCTCTGTAGACCAGACTGGTCTTGAACAGTTCCACCTGCCTCTGTCTCCCAGTGCTGACATTAAAGGCTGCCACCACCACCCAGCTGCTGGCACAAATCTTTAATCCCAGCTCTCAGGAGGCAGATATGGGCAGTCTCTGTGAGTCAGAGGCCAGCCTGATCTACTTATTGAGTTTCAAGGATAAATAGAAACATTTCGTTTCCAAAAACCTAAACACACACACAGACACACACAAAATAACAGCAATAACAATGAACAAAATGATTAATCAAGAAATTAATTAATGAGTTTGAAGCCAGCCTGGGCAGTCCTATGGCAGCCAAAGCTACAGGGTGAGACCCTGTCTCAAAAAGAGAGGAAGGAAAGAAGTAAGAGCCTGTGAGCTAGAGACTGTCCGTGAAGCCCCCAGCTACCGGGCGGGCTAAGGTGGGAGGACTGAAAGCTCAATACCTACATGGAATACAAATTGAGACTTCATCTAAAAGAAAGAAGGAGGTGTGGGAATGTAGCTTAGGCCAGAGTGCTGCTTGCCTATCATGCCCAGAGCCCTGGGTTTGAGCCCTGGTAGAAGCTGTGCATGGATCGGCGCACCTGTAATCCCAGGGGTTGGGACGCACAGACAGAAACTCAAGGTCATCATTGGTTATGTAGTGAACTGAAGACTGGTCCAGGTAGCTTGAGATTGAGGAGAAAGAGAGAGAAGGAAAGAGAGAGGGGAGAGAGAGAGAGACAAGAGAGCATCCTAAGGAAAAGGGGAAAGTTAGGGAAAGATACAAAAAGTTGAGTTCATTGAGTAGTCCCAGCACTCAGGAGACAGAAGTAGGCAGCTCCCTGAGGCCAGCCAAGGGCTACACAGAGAAATCCTGTCTGGGGAAAAGAGAAGAAAAAGAAAAGAAATATTGAAACATGAGAGAGTAAATAGTATATTCAGTATATGCAGTAGTGGACACCTGGTAATCCTAGCACTCAGACTGGGCCATGGTGGCGCACACCTTTAATCCCAGCACTTGGGAGGCAGAGGCAGGCGGATCTCTGTGAGTTCGAGGCCAGCCTGGTCTACAGAACGAGTTCCAGGACAGCCAGAGCTACACAGAGAAACCCTGTCTCAATAAATGAATGAATGAATGAATGAATGAATGAGTAAGTAAATAAATCATCCTAGCACTCAGAAAGGTGAGGCAGAAGAACTGAGTTGGAGACTAGCCTGAGCCACGCAGTGGGACCTTCTCTCAGAAACTCAAACAACAAAAATTTGAGGAGAAACTCCAACAAACCAGCAAATTACAAGAAATCTGCCTTGTGCATCTCCCCCCACCCAAAACTGTGTTTTAGATGATTTGCCTCGGGCAGAAGGCCTGGGGGCCAGCGAGGCAGCTGAGAGGCTGGGCCGGGGTTGTGTGTGGGACGTGGCTGGAGAAGATGGCCACCGCTGGAGAGTGTTCCGGACAGGACAGCGAGAGCAGCGAGTGGACATGACCATCATTGAGCCCTATAGGAAAGTGCTCTCTCATGGAGGTAATGACAGGCAGACTGGGCATGAAAACTATGGCATTGCGGGCCAGTGAGTCAAGGTGCTTGCCATGCGTGCCTGGCAACCTGGGTCTGATCCCCAGAACCCAGGGAGGGGTGCAAGGAGAACTAACCCCGCTAGCTGAAGTTGTCCTCTGACCCCCACATGGACCCATTCGTGCATGTACACAATAATAATAAATGGAAACATGAGCTGTGGCAACAGCAGCACTGAGAGGGCCCAGCAGACAAGAGGTCCTGTTGCTCCCGCAAAGCAGCTGGACTTCCCAGCAATCACATGACAGCTCACAACTGCCAGTAACTCCAGCTCCAGGTGCTCTCACAAGCTCTTCCCTTCCCCATGGTGCACATGCATACATGCAGGCAACACACTCATACACCACATAAAAAACACACACACAAAGAAACCTCTGGCAGCTTGACTACTGTTCCGTAGCTGGAGACTCAGTTGTTAGGATTAGCATCCTTCCTGACTTCCCAAGACTCAGTATCCCTTATCCTAAGTAGAAGTACTATTTCTTTACAGATTTGTAACTGAGTAAGTTTTTCTCATATTGGTCCCCAGGTTACCATGGTGATGGCCTCAATGCTGTCATCCTCTTTGCTTCCTGCTATCTACCCCCAAGCAGCGTTCCCAACTACACCTATGTCATGGAACACTTGTTCAGGTGAGGTGGAAACCCAAAAAGGCTTGTAAAGGGGACTAAGGGAGGAGAGTGGCAAAGACCCCTGGTCGAGAATCTCTGCATTCATGCGTCTGAGCCCCTGAACACACAGCATACACCTCCGCTGCAACGTTGTCCCCAGGTATATGGTGGGAACTCTGGAACTGCTGGTAGCTGAAAATTATCTGCTCGTTCACTTGAGTGGAGGCACACGCAGGGCCCAGGTACCGCCTCTGGGCTGGATACGCCAGTGTTACCGCACCTTGGATAGGAGGTGAGACCCCAGGGCAAGAGGGACACAGCTCTCTGCTATGGTGTCCTCATTTTTTCTATTGTTTTCTTCTTCCATTTGATCCCATTGTTGTTTTCCCTCTTTCTTTCCTGAGAATGACTTGCAACACACCCCATGTTGTCCTCAAGGTCAAGGTTGCCCAGCCCAGCCTTTTGAGTACTGGGATCGTGGGATCACTGGCCTGGGTCACCATCCCTACTCCCTCCTTTCTTTGTCCTACATCTCTTCAGAAGTGTCTCCTGTTAGCGCACTCCCAGCACTCGGGAGGCAGAGGCAGGCGGATCTCTGTGAGTTCGAGACCAGCCTGGTCTACAGAGCTAGTTCCAGGACAGGCTCCAAAGCCACAGAGAAACCCTGTCTCGAAAATCCAAAAAAAAAAAAAAAAAAAAGAAGTGTCTCCTGTTGTAGCCCGTCGAGTCAGGGCCGTCTAGCCCTTAGGACTAAGTGCACTGTGGACAGGTCACTTAGCTTTTCTGTTCAGTTCCTTGTGACTCCCAAGGCACGCTGCCCGCACCCGCAGTCTCTCTCCCTTTCCCCAGTCTTGCCACTTCCCTTCCACATCTCCACTGCTTTCTCTTCATCTTCCTTCATCCCCGATGTTTAAATCATTCCCCTCATTGTGTTTGGTTTTTGTTTGTGTGTTTTTTGTCTTTCAAGACAGGGTTTCTCTGTATAACAGTCCTGGGTGTGCTGGAATTCTCTCTGTAGACCAGGCTGGCTTCAAACTCACAGAGATCTTGAAGGCGTGCGCCACCACCGCCACTACCCAGCCATTTATTTATTTTTATTGGAAATAGGGTTTCATATAATTGAGGCTCACCTTGAACTATCTATGTAGCCAAAGGTGACCCTGAACTCCTGGTCTTCCTGCCTCTCTGCCTCCCCCCAGTGCTTGGATAACAAACAGGTGTTATCACCACGTCTGTCGTGGCCATCTCGCCCTTGTTTAATTTTCTTCTTGAATCGTTTTCATTTTTCCTCCTTGCTGGTCTTTTTCCTACTTAAGAGCTTTGCTGTTTCCTGTTTGGAGGAGGAGTTCATTTTATATAGGGGCTCATGTAGCCTAGGTTGGCTTGGAATTCTCAGTGTAGCCCCAGTTGTCCTTGAATTCCTGACCTCTTTGCTTCTGCCGGGGTCACAGCAGAGTGCTCAGATCACAGGCACCACAGGTATACCCAACTTCCTCTCTGACTTTTATGTCGCTTGGGCTGCTTGGTGGAAACGGAGAAAGGAATCTGTGTGGGCTGGAGGGAACTGAGTTGCAGAGACAGAGGAGCTAGGAAAGGAACATCCCCTAAGTTTAGAGTAGAGAGGGCTGAGTAAATTGGGACAAGCTCAAGGCATGGGGATTAGGCACAGCTGCCAGAGAAATTTGGAAGAGAGACACCGAGGAGCCTGCAGCGTTGAAGATAGCCCACCTGTTCCATGGACTAAGGCGGAACAGGGAACATAAAGGTCATATTGGATTCTTCCTCAGGCTTCGGAAAAACCTTAGAGCCCTGGTGGTTGTCCACGCTACGTGGTATGTGAAGGCATTCCTGGCACTGGTTCGGCCCTTTATCAGGTACTAGTTCAAGACACAACTGTAGACATCCCTTTCTCTATTGTCACTACTGCCGGTAAGGAGGTGGTCCCCTACTCCTTTTCAGCCCTGCCATCCTGCTTGCCCCACTTCTCTGAGATCCTCCAGTGCCGTCTCCCGATACAGAACATAATTGATGTATTCTCTCTTCAGTTCCAAGTTCACACGAAAGATCCGATTTCTGGACAGCCTTGGGGAGCTGGCTCAACTCATCTCCCTAGATCAAGTCCACATCCCTGAAGTTGTCAGACAGTGAGTCCTGCACTTAAGGGTGCTGGTTGTCCTGTTTCTTAGTGTCTCTGGGGAGATAGAAAGAACTAAGACACGTAGGGGGAAACTGCATACACCTAGAGAAGAAGTTAAGGACACTATTATATTTGTCAAGAACAGTGAAGGGGGCCAAGGAGATGACTTAGTGGGCAAAGGTACTCGCTGACAAGCTTGACAACTTGAGTTTGACTTCCAGACCCTAGTGGTGGGATAAATCCACGGCATGCATGTGTGCACATTCATAAATAAATTAAACCCGGTTTTGGTATGTAAACAAAACTTAAAGAACAAATAAAAAATTATTCAAGGGACACTGAGGAGGCATCAAACAAACAAACATTAAAACAAATTATGAATAGGTAACCCAGCAGCAAAGAGACAGTAGCCAGTGGGGAGTATGTCAGTGAGCGGAAAAGGAAAGCGACTCAAGCGCCCCATTTCTAGCTCCTAATTCCCTTGGCTTCTGTCCCCCAACCCTCTGTAGGCTGGACCAGGATCTCCATGGCTCAAAGGCACCTAACACAAAACTGGACAAGGGGCCGTAGACTCAGGCCAAGATGGTGAATGCTCTGCACACTGGAGCTGTTCTGTAAATCATCTCATCCTGACCCCCTGCCCCAAGTTCCACTGGATCCCCGCTTCTGGACACTGCCTTCAAGCTGGGATTTGAGGGTGGGAACCCTATATGTGGGGTGACTTGCACTTCGGCTTCCAAAAGGAAGACCAAGTGTGGTACTGGAAGAGCAGGGCTCTGGGTTTTAATTCTGCTTTAGCTATAAAACATGTGGGTCTCATATTCCTTCTCTGTAATCAAAACCTCTGGGATCCTTCCCAGATGGTTGTAAGATGGCAGCCGTTTGAGGGGAGGTCGAGGGAAGGTGAGGGTTTAACCAACAACCACAGCCAGCCTGTCTGCTGGGATCCCAGGAGCCAGCTTGCAGACTCTTGAAGAGCCAATCCCTTAGTCTGCTCCTGTGATCCTGGGAAGAATTGCTACCAAAGCTGGCGTTTTCACCCTTGTTAGTAAATTCAGACCTGTAGCCTTTAATAAACTGTGATGGGAGATTTAAGTCGAACAAGTTTCCTCCAAGTTCTTACATCATAATCCACCTTTCGGTTCTGGCACAGAATTCTTGCTCACCAGAGTTCCTGGTGATTTTTTAGCTCAGCCCCTGGGGCTGCTGGCCCTGTGCGGGAAGAGCACTTAGGGGAGGGGCGTGGCACGCGCCTTGGGGAGGGGCGTGGCCCGCGCCTTGGAGCACCCTTTTGGTCGGTTCACAGGACCTCGAGACCTGGAGGGTTGGTGGAGAGTGGAAGGGAGGGAGAGAAGGTAGGCGCCTGGGCCTACCTCTCGACCTTCCCAGCCCCATGGTCCCCGCCGCCTGCATGCTGCTCTGGGCCCTGCTACTTAGTTTGGGGCTCCGGGCGGCGGGGGCCCAAGACCAGACGTCAAACCCAACGTCAAACCCAACGTCAAACCTGACCTCAAACCCAACCTCAAACCCGACCTCAAACCCGACCTCAAACCCGACCACGAACACAACTGGGATGCCGCGGATCAGCGTCCGCTTTGGCCCAGCCCGCAGCCGCCGGAGCACAAGCGTCACTATCCGGAACAGTGTACACCGAAAGGTGAAGGTAACTCTAGAGGATGATAATGATGCGCTAGCCACTGCTGACCGCCTGGCTGCCCCGGCAGCAGCTGAGCTCCTGTCCACTGTGTCAGGTATTAGCCGGTCATCAGCGTCCAACTTCAATGAGTATGATGGCTCCTTGGAAGAGGGAGCCGTGATTGATGCCAAAAAAAACACCTACCCTGCAACTCTCACTTCGACCTCCAGTACTATGAGTGTTAGCACAGCCCCCGGGAGGTTTGTAGCCAATAGCCAGGAGCGAGAGATTAGGATGACCACCACCGATCTGCCACCCCTCTCTTCAAAGCCTGTGGACCTGACTTCCGAGACTCTCGAGAGCACCCTGCACCAGTGGTCGACACCTGGGTCCACCCCGACCCCGTGGCGAAAAGCATCGCCCACAGCCATGCCATCTCCTGAGGATCTGCGAGTGATGCTGATGCCTTGGGGCCCATGGCACTGCCACTGTAAGTCGGGTACCATGAGCAGGAGCCGCGCCGGAAAGCTGCATGGTATTTCTGGGCGCCTTCGAATTGGGGCACTGAACGAACTCCGCACGGAGCACCGGCCTTGCACCTACCAGCAGTGCCCTTGCAACAAGCTCCTGGAGGAGTGCCCTCTGGACTCCAGTCTCTGTCCTGACAGTGGCTGCAGTTCACCCACCACCGGGATGAGCACCACCTCTCCTCAGGCCCCTGTACACCTGAGACGCAGACCCATCCTCCCACCCACTAGCCCGAGCCCTAGCCCAGCTCTTGCCTTTTGGAAACGTGTCAGGATCAACCTAGAGGACATCTGGAATAGCCTTTCTTCAGTGTTCACAGAGATGCAACCAGTAAGTTGTTTTGCTGAAGAGCAGGGCGTTCCTTGACGGATTTGAAAAGTCGTGGTGTCCCAAATCTTGTTGCTAACACAGGCAGTGTGCTTGTGGGAGCTGTTACTGACTTACCTGTGTAGTTACTGAGTTGTAACGTGCACTGGTTATCCTTGGCCCATTTGGTGTTTTTGGTTGTTTTGTGGTTTTTCTTTTTTTTGGGGGGGGGGTTCTGAGACAAGGTTTCTCCATGTAGCCCTGGCTGTCCTGGAACTTACTACATAGACCAGGCTGACCTTAAACTCAGACAGATCCTCCTGCCACTGCACCTGGAACTTTTTTTTTTTTTTAATATTTGTGTGCATGTCTGTTGTGTGTCACTAAGACCTTGTGGAGGTCAGGACAACTGGTAGGAGCTCGTTCTCTCATTCCACCATGTGATTTCCAGGGGTCAAACTCAGGTGGTCAGCACTAGAGTGATCTTGACAGCCCCACATGGTCTCTTATAAAAGCTCAGGATGGCCTCGAACTTTGCATAGCCAAGGGTGCAACCACTTCTGGTTGTATTCTGGTTGTAGAGTGCTGGGATAACAGACGTGTAACAACCATGTCTTATCACTTTTTGAATATTTACTGGTCATCAGATTCTTAATTTCTTTTTTTAAAAAAGATTTATTTATTATGTATAGTGTTCTGCCTGCATATATGCCTGCATCCAGAAGAGGGCACCAGATCTCATTATGAATGGTCATCATGTGGTTGCTGGGAATTGAACTCAGGATCTTTGGAAGAGCAGACAGTGCTCTAACTGCTGAGCCATCATTCTAGCTCCTGGTTATCAGATTATTATTGACCAAATAAAGACTTCTTTACCTTTTTTCTTTTTGAGAATCTTAGAGTCTTGGCTAACCTGTACAACTTTCCTAACATGCTTGGCTATAAAGACTCAATTCATAGACAATGGACCTGGGGCATATTAACCGATTAATGATTAAGAGTTTAAAAAAATCGGGCTGGAGAGATGGCTCAGTGGTTAAGAGCACTGCCTGCTCTTCCAAAGGTCCTGAGTTCAATTCCCAGCAACCACATGGTGGCTCACAACCGTCTGGCGCCCTCTTCTGGCTTTCAGGCATACAGACAGAATATTGTATACATAATAAATAAATAAATAAATTATACATAATAAATATTTAAAAAAAAAAAAGAGTTTAAAAAAATCATTGTGTAAATGTATTTTGCCTGTGTCTATGTCTGTGTAGCATACATTCCTGGTGCCCACGGAAACCAGAAAAGGGATGGTTCTCTGGAACTGTTGTTACAGAGGATTGTGAACAGCCATGTGGGTGTTCGAACTTGAACCCTTATTCTCTGGAAGGGCAGCCAATGCTGAGCCATCTTAACTGCTGAGCCATCTCTCCAATTCTGATCAACACAGTTTTTTTTTTTTTTTTTTTTTTTTGAGACAGGGTTTCTCTGTGGTTTTGGAGCCTGTCCTGGAACTAGCTCTTGTTGACCAGGCTGGTCTCGAACTCACAGAGATCTGCCTGCCTCTGCCTCCCGAGTGCTGGGATTAAAGGCCTGTGCCACCACTGCCCGGCTGATGAACACAGTTTGATTTAATGCATTATAACAGTAACAGCCAATAGCTGAGCTCTCACTCCAGATATGGCACTTGAATCTGCACTCAGCTTATAGAGCTGTATTTTGTTTACTGATGAAGAGACAGGTTTACAAGCCAGTAGGGCTGGGGTAGGTAATTCCGTGATCTTTCCTAGTCCATGCAAAGGTAATAGGTTCAATTCTTTCACTGAAGAAAGAACATAGTGACAGCCACAAAACTGAAACCAGCTTTCCCACCAGGACCCAAAGGACTGTCCTTTTGGGACTCTCTCTACCCAGCAACTTAAAATTTCTCAAAGAAGCTGGGTGTGGTGGTGCCACCTTTAATCCCAGTGCTTGGGAAGCAGATCTCTTAGTTCAAGGCCAGTCTGGTCTAAGTAGTGAGTTCAGGACAGCCAGAGCTACACAGCGAGACCTTGTCTCAAAACAACAAAGTTCCTGACGGCTCAGACTGACTCTAGTCTCAGTCGCTAGGGGTGACTGGCAGGGAAAAGACTCAATAAACACAGAGCATATTTGGTGATTTAGCTGGTTCCTATTTTTGTTTTCCTCCTGGGGAGTCCAATTCCATTTTTAATATAAAAATAAAGCACTTGGGGCTGGAGATATATGGAGCTTGGTTAGTTGAGTCCTAGGCTGGATTCCCAGCAGCACAGACGGGGATGTTATAATCATGGGCTGGTAGGTGAGGGAACTGAAGCTCCTGGTCAGGGGACTGGACATGCGGCTCAGCACGTAAGGGCATTTACTGCTCTTCCAAGGGACACCAGCTCCATTGCCAGCACACCCGTCAGGCATGCCAACCACCTGGACCCTGTGGGTACCTGCACTCAGACACACGGACACACACACAATCAATAAGTTCCAAAAAAACCTACCCAACCAACCAAACAAAAACATAAAAGACAGAACCTAAGTTCCAGGTCCAGTCAGGGAGATGACTTGGCAAATAAAAAAGTGCCACTGTATGGCCATGCCCCCATTCCCACAAAAAAAAAAAAAAAAAAATTTGAGGACAGGGTCTATATAGCCTTTTCCAGGCTGGAACTCACTGTATAGATCAGTCTGGCCTCAAGTCCCAAGTGCTAATATTAAAAGTGTGTGTAATACCTAACAAAATTAAAATAAAACATGAAAAAATTCAAGGCCACCCTGGACTACATAAGACCCTATTTTCTAAAAAAAGATAAACGGAATAAATGGAGAAAGCTAAGGAGAGAGCAGAGCTGGGGAGACGGCCAGGGGTGAAATGCCTGCTGGGCAACGGGGAGGAAAGTCCAGAGCCCCAGGCGCCCCCGTTTATGGAGTCATGTGTGGGCTCCAGTTCAGTGAGACACCAGACATCTCACACACATACACACATGCACACACGCACACACAAACAGAGACACGGAGAGAGACACACACACACTTGGAGATATTAGACAACTACACGCATACACACACAAAGACAACAGACATCAACTATACACATGCACACACACGGAGACACCAGACATCAACTATACACACGCACACACACGGAGACACCAGACATCAACCACATACACACGCACACACACGGAGACACCAGACATCAACCACATACACACGCACACACACGGAGACACCAGACATCAACCACATACACACGCACACACACGGAGACACCAGACATCAACTACACATACATGCACACACACCCCAAACCAGCAGGGTTGAGGAAATGGTTTGTAGAGGGTAAGTAAGGAAAATATCTATTGATTATAATCTCTCCTTTTCTGTTTTCTTGCCTTCCCCAGATAGAAAGAACCCAGCGGTGATGGCCACGTCAGCTTTGAGAGATGTCTGCATTGTAACCTCCCTTTTCAACCCCTGAACCCACTATATATTTTTAATACAGAAAAAACCAGAAAATACATATTTTGGTCCTATTTTTCTTTTTGGTGGTGACCGGGTCAAGCCCAGGGTTCTACACCTGCTTTCCACTGGTCCTTGTGTCTTTTTGGTTTATCAAGACAGGAGACAGGGTTTCACTATGTAGCCTGCACTGTCCTGGAACTTGCTCTGGCTTCTGGTCTTGTGTCCTCCCAGAAGCACTTATGCACGGAGGTTAGAGCCAGCAGCCTGTAGCTGGCTACTCTCTGTCTTCCGAGACAGAAGTGCTCACCATTCCCAGTGCTGTCTGAAACAAATGCATCAGTTCTTTGAGACAGGGTCTTATTTTGTAAGTTTGAGGCCTCAACTCAGAGATCTGACAGCCTTTTTTTTTTAATTAATTAATTAATTTATACAGTATCCTGCCTGTAGGCCAGAAGAATGACCAGATCTCATTATAGGTGGTTGTGAGCCACCATGTGGTTGCTGGGAATTGAACTCAGGTTCTCTGGAAGAGCAGTCAGTGCTCTTAACCGCTGAGTGGTCTCTCCAGCCCCCTCTGCCAGCCTCTCGGATGCTGGCTAAAGGTGTGTGCCATCACACCTGGCCAAAATAAGTAGTTCTGAAACACCAAGGAAAGGGAATAGCCAGAACCCACTTGAGACTGTGGTGGCTTTCCTTCCTTCCCTACCCAGATTCAGTCCTTGTCAGGAAACGCCATGCTGGTACAAAGTCCCATCTCAGCCACTTGCAGAGTTTCTGCCATCAGCCACGTCCATTTTTAAATTAAAAAAAAAAAAATTCTAGACAGGGATTCTCTGTGTAACAACCCTGGCTGTCCTGGAACTCACAGAGATCCTCCTGCCTCTGCCTCCCGAGTGCTGGGATTAAAGGCATGTGCCACTAGGCCCAGCTATCTTTTTTTCTCCCAAGCCCATCTTTTGATCTAACAAACATTTGTAGTGATTACTCTGCAACTATTTTTGCTTAATTCTTTTATTGGAAAAATGTATCTTAAAAGTCCATCAAGTTCTGAATATAAATTATGACTGTCAACCCATTCCAATCACCTTGGTAAGTGGTGGTGGCATACACATTAGAGAAGGTAGCCTGAGGCAGGAGACCATCAAAGAAAGAGAAGACTGTGCCCCAATTAGTTAACAAAACTGGAGCTTGGGGTTCACCCCCAGTGTCCAACCTCTGGCCACTGGGACCTGACGTTCAGGGCCTTCCTTGGAGCACGCTGCCTGGTGGGCACAGGTCCACCATGCCTGCAAGTGGTCATGTAGCCTCTAACTAGCAGGTGAGCTTCCAGCGAGGCAGGCCTGACGGGAATGGCAAGGAAGCGAGCCAGGAATGGACATTCACGACCAATGCTAGAGTCTGAAAGTCTACAGGGAGCACACTGAGCTTTGGACAAGGGAAAACCTCAGTCACTAGGTGAGGGGTAAAACTGCCCGGGGTCAGCAGGAGGGGACCAGTTCCCACAGCCCTAACCCACTGCCACACAACAACTTCCTATTACAGAGCTAATGAGACCCCAGCCCGCCTCTCTAGGACGGGGCAGGCGCTCATCTGTCTTGTTCTGCCTTTCTAATCAGACCGCAAAGAAAGGGCCAGAACAAAGAGACCTGAGAAAACAAAGGGCCTAAAGACTCTGCTCCTGCGGTACTCCCATGTAGAGCAGGAGCTTCAGCCGCGTGCCACGCCAAGTGACACTTCCAACCAAAGTCCCTGAGTCTTACGCTGGGTTTGAGGACCTTAGCAGAGGAGCTCAGCACGTGGGCACATAACCAGTTCTCAGCAGTCCTGATCCCTCCTCTCTCATCCCAGCTCACCCTGTTCGCGTCTCCGCACTGTGGGAGGCCCTCTTGCAGAGACCAAACACAGAGGCACATTGAACACGTCTGTCACAGAAACCTGAGCCCGTGCGAGCACAAGCAATACATCTGAAGGAAAGACGCGCAGCTCTGCTGAGCCCGCTCCGTGAGGGCACTAGCTCGCCCAAGGCTCAGGGCGAACAACCAGGCTGGTGGAGGGTGGGGCATGTGGAAATCGCTTGACTCTCAACTGCGGGTAATTCTGTCTCTAGGAGACACTTGGCAATTTCTGGGGGCATTTTGGTTGCCACACTGGGGTAGGCTGGAAATGCAGCCCACACTGCTTTCAGCTGTTTGGGTTGAAAAGCTAGGCCTCCATAAAGGATCTCAAAACCTGTTGCTCGAAGAGGGCTTCCAACCAGTCCACCCCACCGCTGCATTCCTAACAGGAAGTCCGCCCTGAGGTCTTGGCTTTTATACACGGCCCTCCTCTTCCTTTCACCTGGCCAGCAGGGAGCTGACAGAGGACAGGCCAGGACTCCCAGTCTTTAATGTGGTCAAATTAAGATCTGCTCCTCACTTCTAATTCAGTGAGAAACAGTAAAATCCCTCAAAGGGATGGGGTGAGGCCTGAGATAGCAGCGGGATGGGGTAATTAAAAGAACTCATCTTAAATTAAAATTTTAATTAAAAAAAAGAATATTTCTGGGAAGCTATTAATACTACAGAAGCACGGGATTAGAGGCCTAACTGGACCAAGACCCTGGTGCCGGCAGAGACGTGGAGGGCTGTGAGCTTTCACCTGAAATCCAGCGTGTACTGGGCAGCGGTAACTCCGCCCCTTGGCCTCTGCAGTGCTCATTCCAGACGGAAAGAGGGCAGGGAGGCAGCAGTGGTCCCCTCACCTACCCGCCTCCTTTAAAAAGTAAAGGCAAGAAGTTTAAACAGGTGGCACCCGACCTTCATTCAGGAGCAGGGAACTCATTCCAGATTCCCAGAGAACCCCCAGCTCAGATCTAGGGTGCCCAGGGCTTCAGCTGACTCCTCTGGCCTACCAGTAGACACTTGGTCAGTCCTGCTGCCTTGAGCCCATCTCCAGGAGGGGCAGAGGCCAGAGGGAGGAGAGGGAGTCCAGCCCCCATGCCGTTGGAGGCACTTGTTAGGAAGGGGGGAGAGGTGGAGCCCTTGGGTCACTGGTTGTGGAAGGGATCTGGTGTGGGCAGCATTTCTTCTGGGCTGGACACGGAATGGGAACTGCAGAGCCTGAATTAAAAAAAAAAAAATCAACTCTTGATTTCACACAATAGCTCAGGCTGCTCTCAAACATACAGTAATCCTCCTGCCTCAACTTCCAAAGTGCTAGGATTATAGGCATGTGTTGGGGAATATTATTCTCAGGTGTGTGGCTTTTGTTTATGTTGCATTTGTTTAACTCTGTGAAGCTGTCTTACTGAGCCTGTCTAAAACACCTGATGGTCCTAATAGATGGACAGCCAATAGTGAGACAGAAGCAGGGATGGGTGGCACTAGCAGGCAGAGAGTATAAATAGAAGGTGAACTCTGAGAGGAGAATAAGGAGGAGCCAAAGAACAAGAGGGGAGGACATCAGGGGCCAGCTATATTAGTGGAGAAAGGTATATACAAAAATAGAGAAAGATAAAAGCCCAGAGGCAAAGGACGTCAAGATAATTTAAGAAAAGCTGGCGGGGCTGGAGAGATGGCTCAGAGGTTAAGAGCATTGCTTGCTCTACCAAAGGTTCTGAGTTCAATTCCCAGCAACCACATGGTGGCTCACAACCCTCTGTAATGGGGTCTGGTGCCCCTTCTGGCCTTCAGACATACACACAGACAGAATATTGTATACATAATAAATAAATATATATATAAAAAAAAGAAAAGCTGGCAAGAAACAGTCCACACCAAGGCCAGGCATTCATAAATAACAATAAGCTTCCATGTGGTTTATTTGGGAGCTGGGTGGTGGGCCCCTCAAAAAGCCAAAAGAGTAAAACACCCACAACAGGCATGAACCAGTGTCTGGCCAAACTGTTTTTAAAGGAAGATCTGGAGCCAAACACAACAGTACTAGTGGGCCTTAGAAAAGTTTCCAGAAGGAGGATCCTGAATTAAAGGTCACCCTGGGCTACAAATTGAATTTGAGTCATTTCGGCTCCCTACAAAATCCTACTGGACCAGAAGGAAAAAGCAGTTTGCCCTCAAAGAAAACAAAGCCCGAGGGAGAAGGTGCTATACGGGTGCCCATCTTTGTGGGGGAGCAGAAGGGAGACAGCTCCACTATGTAGCCCGCCACTGCCTCCCCAGTGCTGGGTTACAGATACATGCTACCAAGTGGACGTTTTAAGCTCTCCAGAAGGCTCTTTCCTCAACGTTTTTCTTTGGTTTTTGAGACTGGGTACTGCACAGCCTAAACTGACCTTGACTTCACTACACTGACAGAGAAGCTTGAACTTGACCTTGGGTTTGCTGGGCGGGTCGCTGGGTGTGTGCCACCATCTCCCCACCCCACACCTTCCTGCAGAGGTCCTACTTTTCCTGATCCTGCTGCCTTGCATTTTCACTTTCTCATTCTCGCATCAAAGGATCGCGGTCTGAGGCAGGCCGCAGGGAGTGCCTGCACGGGCACAGGGTCACTCACCAGGCCTGTGGGAGCTACAAGGCCCTAGAACTGCTCCACGGTCTGTCCCGGTTTCCCTTGGATCTCATCTGCTCCTGAACTGCACCGGTCTGTTGAAGAACACAGGGCACAGTCACCTAACTCTCCGCACTCCATGACAAGCAACAGTTTTCCCTGAGCCCCCAGGAGCCTGACCTCGTCTCTTTTCTGACAATGGCTTCTGTCTGAGGAGTTTAAGCCTGACCACCATTCTTCTCAGACAAGTCTCCCACAGGAAAACAAGGTGGAGGAGTCATTTACTAATGAGATTCCCTCGCGCGCGCACACACACACCACTCCAATATTTTCCTGTGAGTTTTGTAACCAGTATTAAAAAACCAGTATTAAATAATTAAGACATTATTTAGAACAGACCCTTACATGGCCCAAGACGCCCAGTCACACTGACTCGCTCTGACACTGACTGAACAGGTTTCTTTTTTTCTATTTTGGGATAGGGTCTCTAGGCCAAGTTGGCCTCAGACTCTCTGTACAAGATGACCTTGAGCCTCTGGTCCCTAGTTCCTGAGTGCTGGGGTTAGAGGTGTGAGTCACCACACCCAGCTTCTGCAGGGCTGAAGATCAAGCCCAGGGCTTCCCGCACGCTAGGCGAGCAAGCACTCCACTACCTGAGCTACGTCCCAGCTCTGCTTAGGTTCTTCATAAGGAGACCCATGGTCTGAGAAAAAGGCCTTCAATATTACAACATTTATACTCTAATGAAGACCCAGTGCTAACTGTAAAGAAGGGAGCTAGCCCTAGAGATCAGAAATCCACACCACTGGGGACCAGGGCTACAATCTAAGATTCTTGTTTCCCCATTAAGTATTGTGTTATGTCCCTCGCTTGACGACACCCCCAAATAAACACCCGCCCTTCCCTTATTACCATGGCAAGTCCATCTCCTGCCCCCATCTCTCCAGAGCCGATGTGAGTCAAGTGGACAAAATTCATTGGTTCTCCAATCATGGTGCGGTCAATCCGTCTTCTCCTCTTCTTCTGCTTGGAGAAGACAGGGAGTCACACAGGCAGCCTTCTCCCCCGTGGAGGAAGGGGAAAGAGGCTTGGAAAACCACCAAGAGTTAAGGTTGACTTGGCAGTGTAATGGGCAAACATCAGGGTAGGAAAGACAGACAGAGCTGGAACAAATCCGAGACAATGTCACCAGAGTGGTGGCCTGCTGAGTGACTATACAAAGGAAGGGACAAAGCAAAGGCACCTAGGATGATGAGGGGACACTGACAGGTCTCAAGTTCTGCATACGACCCCTGCCACCTCAGAACAGGAGCAGGTGACAGAGCTGTTCAGCTCTTCTGTCACAGTCTCCTTTATTGCACGGGACCATACCCTGCCACAGAAACTCAGGAGGTGGGGGAGACAAGTGTTTCTCAGAAGGCAGATCAGAGATGGCGTGTCCACTTCCCAGCACATGGTAACGAATTTCTTTTTTTTCTTTTTTTTTTTTTTTTGGTTTTTCGAGACAGGGTTTCTCTGTGGTTTTGGAGCCTGTCCTGGAACTAGCTCTTGTAGACCAGGCTGGTCTCGAACTCACAGAGATCCGCCTGCCTCTGCCTCCCGAGTGCTGGGATTAAAGGCGTGCGCCACCACCGCCCGGCTGGTAACGAATTTCTGTGTGTGGCAGGGAGGGGTCAGGAGACTTACCGGCTGGGGCTTCTCTACCACGCAACAGCCCAGTTTGTGCCAAAATTCACTCATATTCCCTGATGGTTCCAGCTTCGGGCCTCTGCTAGAGGCCCCAGAGGGCTCTTGTTTTTTTGCTAACCAGCCAGTCCTCACTCTCAGGCGCAACAGCACCAGGGATTCACACAGCTGGATGGTTCTCGGGCTGTGGGAATCCTAGAGACCCTCACTCGTGCAGTGAAGGTCAGAGTCTCGGACCCGGGGCCCCTAAAAGCACCAGCAAGAGGCTTGGGGTGGGCAGGCACACGGTTCTGTCTTCTTTTGATGTGAAATCCTGAATTTTAGCAGAAAGAAAAAGAATTGTTAGTGAGAAGCATCCCTCCCCAATCCATTTCCCTGAGAGACCTGATACACTTTCATCTTCTCTCGTGGAGGCTACTGCTGTCCCCCAGTCCTGTCCCCCTCAAACACAGGATGCTCACAGTTGCTCCTCACAAGGGATAGTGCAAAAGACGAACCGGGTCAGGAGCGATGACAACTGGGACCAAGGAAGAAGGGGCTAAGAGAACTTGGGATGAGACGGTGACAGAAATGACAGAGTGAAGGGGTGCTACTGCCTTCAGTTCCCTTCGCCCCAGGCGAGGGCAGGAGGGGAGGGCACGTAAGAGACTCCGAAGAGGAAATAGTGGTTTCTGTTCTCACAAACAAGGCCTCCGCCCTGTCCCTCCCTTTTCTCTTACCTTGCCCCAACACCTCCATTGGTTTTAAGGACCACCTAGTCAGAGCCCAGGAGACAGGCAGTGTGTTCTGGAGCGGGGAATTTCTCCTTCTCAGTCCACTGCCTTTGTTCCTCTGCACGCACTTCCCCCAGCTGAAGTCCAAGGGCCTCCCAGAGTCCAGTTAGAGTTAGTATCTGACCTTGCCTTTCCCGAGAGCTCTGCAGACTTGTGTGCACCTACCCGTGGCCCCACAGGTAATGTGCGGAGTGGCTTTCTGTTCTGGGCCTCCCCACCCTTTTCCACGTGTTCCATCCTGTGCTGTTGGGTGTCTTACACCCTGTAAGGCTCAGACCTCCCTTCCCCCTTCCCTAATGCTCTGACCTGCTCTCTTCCTTCTCCCCACTTCCAAACTCCACCAGTGAGCGAGACACACAGGAACTTTCCAGCAGCACTGTGTCCCAGGAGGAACTTTCTCCCCTCCTCACTGCTGCCAACCTGGGGTGACAGCCCATCTGCGTTTCCTCTGCACTTCCCTCTCTACAGCAAAGTCAAGCTCAGGAGTCCAATAGGGCAGTCCATGAATATTAATCATGAGCATGAATAGGAATGAGCCTCTAGGCTTGAGGCTGGAAGCAGGGTGCTCCAGTAGCCTAGACTGACCAAAAAAACTGAGTTTTGCTTGTTTGTTGAGTGTTGTTTTCTAGCAGCCCTGAGATGAGATCACTCAAGCAGGGAAATACAGCTCTAGGGTAGGAAAGAACCCAAGGGTCGGCTTCTTTTTCACTTCCCTTCCTGCCCCTGGAAGGCAGGAGTAACCAGGACTGGTCAGAACACAGCTGCCCAGGGAGGGGAGGCTGACCCACTGGTCACAAGGTTTGTCATGATGGTGGCAGGTGGTAGGGGTTTGGGGAAATGGAGAAAACAATAAAGAATCAGAGGAAACCCCCAACACGACCAGACAGCCTATACTGAGGCTGGGCTCTACCCAGTATTCCCCACCCTGCTCAGAGCACAGTGGACAGAGGTGGCCAGTGCTGGGAGGAGGGAGAGGAGGAGGGAGAGGAAAGGGGGCCCTGGAGGAAACAAGGACCTTTCTGTTTCTCTTCCAGGGACCTGACCAAGATGGGTGGAGGGAAAGTGTGTGTGGGGGACTTGGCAAGAAACAACCAATGATGATGAGAAGTGACCAGGAAATTCCACTCCCTAGGACATTAGGGTCTCTGAAGCTTGGAGGCGGTGTCAGAGTGTGAAGACAGGCCAGGGTCAATGTGGTAGTGTTGGGTGGGGGGAAGAGGAACAAAGCCAGAAAAGGAAGTACTAGGCATTGGCTGTCACTCTGTTTTAAAGCAGCCAACGATTGGGATGGGGGCAAACGACGCCTCAGCTGGAGAGCCGAGGCGGCAGCGATGCTAGAGCCACTGCCCACTCCTTCATCCCCACAGAAAAAGGGAAGAAATGGGAAAAGAGAAGGGATCTAGGATTAGACAGCATAGAGCCACATACTGACAGTGGGGCCCCTCTCATTTCCACACGAAATCCAGAACCTGGAGTGGCAATCTCCAAATCACCGGCATGATCACGGTGGGCCTTGAAGACGGAAGAGCTGAAGAGGGGCGAGCAGGAGAGGGGTGGGGGTAAGGAGCCGGAGAGGAAGGATGTACACAGGTAGTTCCCCGTCCTGTGGTAGCCCCAAACCGGTTTTCCCGGTCCCGCTGCCTCCAGCCTCAAGGCTTCCAACCCGCTGTCTGACAAGCCTTCACAAGAAGCAGCTGGAGAGAAAGAGACTAGAGAATGGTGTGGGCAAATCCTGGCTGTAAGCCAGGGATGCAGCTGGTCCCTGCGTGGAGACCCTCCAGACACAGCGGGCTCCTGAGGGGCCCTGAGAGAGGAACGGGCCCCATTTCCAGTCAACTGACAGACATTTGTCCTAGCACCAACCCTGCCCGAACCCCAGGAAAGGGCTTCTGGGGACTTAAGAGGAAACAGGAGACCCTAATTTGTTCCCCTCCCCCAATATTTTCCATCAGACTCCAGTTCTCTCCCCCACCCACTCAGAACTAGGATGAGAACCTCAGTGGATCGTTGTGGCTGTCACTGTTCTCCGTGGCTGCCTCAGTCTGGCTTAGACCTTCCGGGGCCCCAGCACCACTTCGTTTTGTCTGGGACAGCAGACCTCTGAGGTTAGTGGGCCGGCGAGGAGCCCCTGTCGCTTCGCACCTCCCACCCGGCCCCACGCTGCAATCGCCGAGTCACTGCCTCTCCCCGGCTGGCGCCGCCCGCGCGTGGACTGTGACCACGACCTCCTCCCCGCCGCCCGCGCGCAGCCCGACCCGCCCGGCGCTCTCACCTGCGGCTCCCCGGCGTCCAGGCGGCGGCCGCTGCGGGCGGGGGCTCCGCCACTCCGGGATCCCCGGCTGCTGCTCCGTACGGCGGGGAGTCGAGGGCGGGCCGGCAGAGGTGGGGCCGACCGAGGGCGGAAACGCCGGCGACGCGATTACGAAACCCGCGGGCTGCGAGCCGAGCGCAGCGCTCCGCCCAGGCTTGCCGGGGCGCACGGCTTGGCCCGCGGGGACAGCGGGAAATACCGCGCTCCTGGACACCCCCGGCACCCTAAGTGTGTGTGCTAGGTCTGTCCACCTGCTGCAGGTGCAGAGGTGACCGCGCGCCGGGGCCCTTTCCAGGTCTCCCAAAGTCCCCTTCGGTCCTTAGAGTGAAAAGGAGGAGCGTTTTTTGGTCTAGCGGAAAGTCTTTTTAACCCATGCATCTAAGTTAGAGGACAATTAACTGCTCAGCCATTGCACCCCGGTCAGCACGAGGGTGCTGGAGAGATGTGGGTGCCGTGCGAGCCGATGGAGAGGCTCTAGCCTGGGTGGCGTGTTCCGGAACCTATCATTCGAATTAGCCGAGTCAGGCAGAGAGGGGGCGGGGAGTGCTTCCGCCCTTGCTAGGAGGGGCTGCATTGCAGGGGAGACCCAGCGGCGGACTCTGTCACAGACGAGGCAGAAGGCGTGAGCAGACAAAGCCGTCTCACCACCAACAGCTTTTTTCTGCAGCCTCCTCCTCTCCCGTCCAGAGCAGACCCCCGAGCCCCTGAGGCATTCTCTCCTTCTTCGGAACACGCCAATCATTCATTGATAACAGGTAACCTAGCTGAGGGGCGGCTTCTCAAGCTTGAAAGACCCCCTTGTGAGACTAGGTGGGGGACCGTTTCAGAGGAGAGAAGGGGGCGCTCTGAACAATGGGTAGCTGTTACCAGATTTTTATCTGTTAAGATCTCCATCTATGCCTTATCGTGGACCTAAGCATTAATTTCCAACACTTTACCTGTAATTATTTCTCGGCATTTAGCTCTTCATTTCGTGTATCCATTTTTCCGATAATTTTTGCCTTGTGCATCTAATGGCTTCTAGTCTAGTGGCTAGTTATCTGTATCTTCCTTTTCAAGCTATAATTTTGCTACCAGTTATTTGGTGAATCTTTATTCGAACTGTAATTCCTGCAACCTCTACTTCTTGGATTCCCACCCTCCTCACGGTTCTGTGTCTGTGGTAGGGAGTTTTGGGGAGTACTCCTTTTTCCTTTTCTTTTTTGACACGGGGTACTATGCAATCTCTTCCCTGACTCAGATTTTCACCCCGAAGAGGCTTGAGGTAGGACAGGTGGGGGCAGCTGTGCCATTGCCTGATGGCATGTTGGAATCAGCGCAGCCCACAGGAACTACTGCTGAGAACAGATTTTTCTTTGCAGCCCCTCCTAGTTGGTGGGGAAGGTTGTGGCTAGCAGGAAAATCCCAGAGCAACGTGAGACACACCAGAAAGCTTCCGGCTCCATCCTCCACCAGCCCTGCTCAGGCTGCTTGGCGGCACCATGACACAGCAAGGCTCTGTGGAGCAGGCCTTGGGTGCTCCTGGGGGGCGGCAATCTAGACAAAGGGTATTTGGGTGTGTCCACGTGGCTTAAAGAAAGTGTGTCTTTAATCATGGTGTCTCGAAGAACTGACAATGAAATTTAGAAGTTACTTTACCTACAATATTGGGGTAGTTCAAAATGGATGGCACATTTACTGAGCATGTACCATGTCGTCAGTCACCATCCAGAGCCTCCAGACAGACAGGTAAAATGATGGGTGAAGAGAGGTTAAGGAAGGAAGGGGAAGCCAGCTTGAAAGCAGCCTGTCTTCTTATTTTAATGCTACATATACCTGTGTGTCTGCTTTCTGGAAACGAATTTGTGTCTCTGGACATGTCTCCAGGCTGGAGATTTTCAGCTTTTTAATATTTCCTTTAGATATTTCCACATAATTTCCTTTAAATTGTTTTATTTGACTTAGTTTTGTGTTTTGTCCATGTTCCTTTTGTTTTGGTTTGCGGGGTGGGTCTCTGGACTCAGTGTGCAGCCCAGGCTAGGCTTGAACTCACGGTCCTTCAGCCTGCTGAGTGCTGGGACTGCAGCTGTGTGCCTCCACGCCTGAATCTAGCTGTTTCAGTTGGAAGACAGTTCTGTGCAGTCTCTGATCAATTGTGTAGGCAACTGTTATACGTATTACAGTTGAAAGGAAGGGAGTCAGGTTGTCAACGCTGACTTAATGCTAGCTTAGTCTCAAAATATTTTTCAAGACAGTTTGTTGGCTTCCATATAACTCCTGATCCTCCTGCCTCCACCTACTAGATGCTGGGGTTGTAGGAGTTCCTTCCCATACCCAGCTCTCCTCCTAGTCAGATTAGAACCACAGAAGGAGGTCAGCAGAATATACTAAGAAAAGAATTATTTTGACAACTAAATTCTTTTTATGCATGTGTGCTTTTATACCAGAAAAGGACATCAGATCCCACTATAGATGGTTGTGAGCCACTGTGTGGTTTGTGGGAAATTAACTACTGAAAGAGCAGCCAGTGCTCTTAACTGTTAAGCCATCTGCCCAGCACCAAGAACAAAATTCTTAGCTGGGAGTGGTGGCACATACACCTGTAATCCCAGGACTCAGGGGCAGGGGCAGGGATTCCAAGTTAGAAGCCAGCACTTGGGCTACATGTTAAGACCTTATTTAAGAAATAAAAATTGAAAAAAAATTAAAAAAAAAAGAAATAAAAATAGGAGCTGGAGAGATGGCTCAGTGGTTAAGAGCACTGCCTGCCCTCCCAAAGGTCCTGAGCAGGAGAAGCTCCACGAGCTCCCAGCCCAGCATGCCTGGTTTACAAGGTCAGACAAGCAGAAGGCAAGGCCTCTCACCTCTACCTAGGCATGGGGTGTGGAGGCCCAGCCCCCCATACACAACACACACAGATTTCTATTTATTTATTTATTTATTTATTTATTTTTCCTAGACAGGGTTTCTCTGTTCTGGAACTTGCTTTGTAGACCAGGCTGGCATCGAACTCACAGAGATCCGCCTGCCTCTGCCTTCCGAGTGCTGGATTGAAGGCATGCACCACCACCACCTGGAACACACAGATTTTAAAAAAAATTTTCAAGTTAAAAAAAAAAGATTTAATTTTTATGAATGCCAAGAACATGCCTGCTCCTGAAAAGACGGTGTCAGATGCCTTGGAACTGGCATTGGTTATCAGCTGCCATGTGGTTGCTGGGAACCCAGGTCCTCTGGAAGGACAGCAAGAGCTCTCGGATTGTACTAGAAGTATGAGACTTGGGGTGCACATCAGCTGGACACCCAAGCCAGCTCCTGAACAATCTAAGGTGTCGTCTGGTTTTCACGGTTTTAGTTGAGTGCAACGGCACACACCTTTTGTATCCAAGCTCTCAGGAGGCAGAGGCAAGCACATCTTTGTAAGCTCAAGATTGGCATGGCCTACAAAATGGGTTCTAGGGCAGCCAGGGCAATATAGTGAGACCGCGTCTCAAATAACGCAGCTTAAGAAATATATTTGTTTTTCATTTTAAGCTAGGTGTGATGGTGATGTCTGTGATCTCAGCACCCAGAATCTGGAAGCTGAGACTAGAGAGAATCTTGAGTTTAAGGTTAGTCCAGGCTATATAATAAGATTCTACATAGCCTCGGTTACATAGCTAGACCCTTGCTCAAAAGAACAAAAACAATTTTTTTCCTAGTAGTTGTTCGTTTTAATTATGTAATGTGGATGTCATAAGTTCAAGGTCAGCCTCTGCTACTTTAGTTCATGGTATTGTCTGTGGAAAACAGTTTATTATATGCCCTGTGTTATAAGAAGGTCACTCTGTAGGAGACTTTTAAGGGAAGGTGTTTTTTTAAGTCAGCTAACAAGGCAACACCTGGTGATGTCATAAACTTCCCGATAAGCAGAGTCAGTAACAGCCTGACTTCTAAGGCATGCTCTTTAGTGTCTGTAGTCCAGACCTCAGTGGGGCTTGGTTAGCTCAAAGGTGTTATAGGTGCAGTCATGCTTGCTAACTCTCTGTACGTTCCCATGGAGATGGTCAGAGCTGAGTTCATGGGGCAATGACCTCACCTTTCTGCTAACTCCTTGGCCCTGCTTCAGTCCGGCATCACGCTCTTGTTAAACTACTTCTCTGCTGAGTAATGTTCAGCTCCCAGGGGCTTATTTTGGAGCTTGATGAGAGAGGGGGGAGGGGAGAGAAGAAGAGAAGAGGGGAGGGAGAGAGAGGGAAGGGAGGATGATAGGGGAAGGATGGATGAAAGAACCCAGAATGTGCCTTTTTTAAGCCATGTATCTTGGACCATGCCTGTAACCCCAGCATTTGGCGGATGGAGGCAGGAGGATCAGGAATTACATTTTGAAGCTATTCTGAGCTATGAGACCTTGCCTGAAAAAAAATTATTTATTATTATTATTATATTCCTTGTTTTGTTTTGCTTGAGCCAGAGTCTTGCCCAGCCTGGGCCCAAACACATACTCCTCAAACTCCTGCCTGAGCCTCTTGATTGCTGGGATTATAAACGGGTAGTACTTTTTTAATGTTATCAAAGGTCATGGGATGGCCCAAAGGTGGTTGCAAATGCCTCAGAGGAGGTGAATCTCTCTGAGTTCGAGCCCAGCCTGGTTTACAAAGCAAGTTCTAGGGCACCCAGAGCTGTTACACAGAGAAACCCTGTCTCGGAAAAAAAAAAAAGAAAAGAAAAAAGAAATCAGAAAAAGAACCTGAGTTCAGATTCCCAGAAGCCAAATAAAAAGCTGGGTGTGACCGCCTACATCTGTAGCCCCAGAAACACGGGAGGGTGGAGACAGGAGGATGGCTGGACTTGCTGGCTGCCCACCGAGCTCCAGGTTCAGCGAGAGCCTGTCTCAGAGAGCAGGGCACATGTTACTTGAGCAGGGTGGTGCTCCTCTCACTGCCGCCCACACAGTCACCGTGTGACACCTGTGGACACCCGTGTCTCTCTTCGTACAAGATCACAGGGAAAGGCACAGGGCTGGAATCCCAGCACTCTGGAGACTGAGGAAGGAAGATGGCTGACTACATACTACATAACAGCCCGGGCTACAGAGGAAGACCCTGTCTTTTTTTTTTTTTTTTTTTTTTCCCCAAAAAAATTTCAAAGGAAGGAGGACCCTGTCTTTAAAAAAAAAAAAAAAAAAGCAGCCCAAAAGTTCTGGCCTGGTGTGATACGTTCCTGTAACTCCAGCACTAGGGCGCCTCCGCACAAGGCTTTGTGTTTCAAGTCAGCCTGAACTAGAGCTGAGTTTGGAGCAAGACTCAGAAACCCACTTCTGGGCCACCTGCTGACCATTTACCCACCCCCAACCCCACATTTCCTGCAGTTTCTGTTCTAGGTCAGTTTTCCTAGTTTGGCAGAGACATTTCACGTCATATAGGGACACTTTGGAACTTACTTAAGGGCACTTTTTAGGAGTCACAGGCTGGTGAGAGCTGATAGTGTGTTCCAGAAAGACTTTTTGAAACTTCTATTTTTGTTGGCAGTGGAATGTTCTTTTTGCTCCTTTGGGAACATTTAAACTAAAGTTTCTTGCCCTTTCCCTGGCCAGTAAATAATCGACGAAGGCTCCAGAGAGCTCTGCTAGTCACAGTGTCAGGGAGGTGTGGGCTGCAGGACAAGCAAAGGTACCACAACTGAGTGTTAACTCCCGAGGCAGAGGCGGGCAGATCTCAGGGAGTTCAAGGCCAGCCTGGTCTACAGAGCAAGTTCTAGGACAGCCAGAGAAGCCCTTGAAAAACAAACAAAGAAATAAACAAACAAAAAAACCCAAAAAACATGGAAAGAGGAGTTGGGCATAGTGGCATATGCCTGTAACCTCTGATCTCTCCATCAGCTCTTGGTGAGTTCAAGGCCATCCTGGCCTGCATAGTGAGACCCTGTCTTTCAAGGCACTGTTCTTTCCCCTGTAAACTTTGCTCCCTTACCTGGTGCTTCCAGCCTGCTTGCTCTCGGTTGTCAGCGGGAAAAGATCATGGTGTAGCGGAAGAAAGCTGTTCTAGCATCTGGGTTTGTCCTGAGGAGAGATGGGCCAGAGAGACATAGTGAGGATTTGTTACTCTGGGGACAAATAAGTGAGAGTAGCAAAGTGTCCACTGTGCTAATAAGGGCAAATTAGAGTTTACATGTAAGGTCTATCTCCTGCTTTACCCGAAAGTAGATGTTTTTGGTTTTTGTTTTGTTTTTTGTTTTTTTTTTTCCCCCTTTGAAACAGCCTTGGAACTCATTCTGTACACCAGGCTAGCCTGGAACTCAGAGATCGCCTGCTTTTGCCTCCTGAGTGCTGGGATTAAAGGCATGTGCCACCATGCCCAGCCTAGTAGGTGTGTTTTTAGCCATAGAGAAACTTTTGGTTTTTTTTGTTTGTTTGTTTGTTTTTTTGTTTTTCGAGACAGGGTTTCTCTGTGGTTTTGGAGCCTGTCCTGGAACTAGCTCTTGTAGACCAGGCTGGCCTCGAACTCACAGAGATCCGCCTGCCTCTGCCTCCCGAGTGCTGGGATTAAAGGCGTGCGCCACCATCGCCCGGCAAAACTTTTGGTTTTATAAGGAGATAAAAACATAAAATATATCCAGTCCATTGTGATCTGTAATCAGAACAGGATGGAGTCAGGTAAAATTCTGCAGGGTGCTGGGGAAGGCTCTGGGGTGGCTAGGTAGGTGGAGCTCACCACTTTGGGGGAGATGTCCTGGAGGAGGTGAGTTCGTTGCCGCCTTACGCGAGAGGAAATGTGAACATGTCATGGAAGACCTTTACAGACACCATAGCTTAGTAAACAGACGTGAAGAAGCCATATGTTTGGTTCTGGGAATGTGTAGGGTCCTTGACCAGTACATGTAAAGTCCTGCCTTTGGTTCTCAGCACAGTTAACTCATTCTTAGTTGAGCAGGCCTGTGACTCGGGAGGCTGAGGCAGAAAGATTTCAAGTTCAAGGTTGGACTGGGCAAGTCAGTAAGAGAAGAGCCTGTCTAAAAATAAAGGTAACAAGAGGGCTTAGGGTATAATTCAGAGTATTTGCCTAGACACCCCAGCGTCTGTTAACCCCTCAATACCGCACACAAAAAGAGTGGGGCCAGACTTGTAACGGCTCAGAAATCAGACCTAAGCGGATAGAGATACAGCTCCTGCCTGCGGTGTATAAGACCCGAGATATATTACTGCGGGGAAATATTAGAGCCAAGGTGAGCCTGCTGCAGTGGAGAAGTTAGAGGCTGGTGCAGAATCGTAATAGAAAGTTCTGGTACTTGTCTTAAAATCCTCCGCATATTTACCAGAGCAAACAAAAAGATCAGCTTAAGCAAGGGAAGGCTCGGGCAAGGAGCTTGCTCTGGCATGAAGACTAACAAGTGACTTGCTCTTCCCCAGGGAATTATGAGGGACCCTGTGAGTAGCCAGTACAACTCCTTCCTTTTCTGGAGGATGCCCATCCCAGAACTGGATCTGTCGGAGCTGGAAGGCCTGGGCCTGTCAGATACATCTACCTACAAGAGCACAGACAGCAATGGTGGCAAAATGGGCGGTCAAGCAAGCGGAGCAGAGCAGAAGAACCCAGAAGGTGATCCCCTCCTTGAGTTCAGCACCTTCAACTTCTGGAGAGCTCCCATTGCCAGCATCCACTCTATCGACTTGGACTTGCTCTAAGGCCAAAGCTTCTCTCTCCCACCCCTTACCCCACTGCCTTCCCTTTTAAGCCCGGTCCTTTCTAAGCCTTTCCCATCTAATACTGTTTTCTTCCCTCTATTGTGCTGGTGGTGCTGATGAATCTGCCAATTGAATTGTATGTTTGTATGTATTTATTTCTTATTTATTTATTTATTATTTATCTGCCTACTCCATTTCTCTCAAGCCTTCTAGGCACAAAGTCAAGGGTTCAGTCACAGGAGTACTACATCACGGGATTTCCACCCCAACCCCAAGGATATTAACTAGTTCCAGAAAACCATCCGTATTGGGGCACCAGAGAGAAGTACAGTTGTGCAAAATGGGAAACGATTTTTTTTACATTACATTTTAATCGGCTTCAGAGATTCCTTGATCCTCCCTGATTTCCTGCACAAGGCCAGTAAGCAAATATTTCAAGAAGTAGTGAGGACCTGGAGGTTCTGAAATGTCATGCAGAAACATGGATGGTCATGGGTACGAGAGGAAATAACACGCCCTGGAGAACGGGAGTGAGGAAAAGCATGGGATGCACCTCACAACTTCGCTCCCAGCTGTGGGTTGGGAACTTTGAGAGAACAGATTTCAGTCTTCGTGGGGAAACCTTGGTGTAGGATAATCCATAAAAGGCAAAAGATTTATATGATCTAAAGAGAAACCAGAGTAGTATTAGCATAATTTATATAGAATTGTGAGTCAGTCATGGAACAGGCGGAGTGTTTTGGTTCTTAGCACTTTAGCTTTGCCCTTCTGTAGTTGCAGTACGTGATGGGAGCCAGTGGTTCCTGGGCATAGTTCTTCAGCCACTGGAAGACCGTGAAATAAGCAATTATATTCAGACCCTACACCTGTCCCTCTTCCTTCCAAAGTTATTGCTGCTGATTTGTGCTGCCATTGTTCATTTATTTAATAAAGATGTTAAAGCCTAAGTCTGGGTTTGCATTTCCTCTCTTCTCAGTGAAGTACTACAGCTCTCAGAATTTACTCGTTCCCACACTCAGCTTTTTGTTTTCTCTTTCTAATACTGACTCCGGAAGAACTGTTCAGGATGGATGGCGCTCAGTGGTCGGAGTGCTTGAGTTCCTCAGGAAGCAGCCGGTGCTCTTAAACACTAAGCCACATCTCAAGCCCGTTCTCTTTTTGTTTTCTCTGTATAACAGTCCTGGAACTTGCTTTGTAGACCAGGTTGGTCTTAAACTCAAAAAGATCCGCCTGCCTCTGCAGGGGTGTGTCACCATTTCTAAACCTTGTGTTTAAATTTGGGGCCTGGAACCTGGACCTTGAGTTCAAAGCTCTCTCTGCCTAGGCTGCCATTAGAGGCTTGTCTGTTGCTGATTTTTGAAGGACCTTTTGTTTTTTTCTCAGTCCATTCATTTAAACCGTTGAGTGGAAACCAAGATAAGCTGTGTGGTACATGAAGTGACCTAAAGGAGATGCAAATTCATGTTCCATCCTCTTCAGTCCCCCCCCCCCCACAAACGTTGTAAGTTTGTCTTCCCTGAGAATGTCTTTATATTCAGGCTACTAATTGGCAAAGTATCCGGTAGGGCAGGTGTCCGATGCGCGTGCCTAGCCAGGAATGTCCCGAACAGTCTCGCGAAGGTTAAGACGCGGAAGCACGATTCTCCCCTGACTCTAAGGCTAGCCCTGCGGAGAACCAGTGGGAAGGTGGAGCACAAACTCCAGAACGACCCACCAGCAACCTCACCCAAGCGTTGGCGCCAAAACTACCGGCCCGGTCCGTCCCCTACCGGAACTATGCCTCACGTAAGCCACGTAATCAATAATCCTGCGCCTCGCTAAGTAGTCCCGTTCAGGATGCCCTCGGTACACGCTTTTCAAACTCAAGAGGTCCTCAGTAGGAAGAAGTCGGCCTCAGAGGTGCGTTGCGGTTTTGACAGAAAGGCAAAGTGGGTTTTCTAACCCATTTCATCCGGATTCCTCCGCCAGGAGGCATAGTCACCGGGTCTTCACTTCCGGGTCCGCCATTTTATTGCCTCCATTTCTCCGCGAGGGGGGGGCTAAAGGTCCCCCAAATATTCATATGTGAAAAGGCCAAAAAGTGACGGCCGCTGGCAAGGAGTCTTAACTTGAGAAAGAAACCGGACCAAGCTGGCGGGCCCAGTAAGAGCGAAGCGGGCAGCGCTCCGGAAGAGGTGAGGGGGAGGGAGACGCAGGGTTCCGGAGCGGCCGGAGCGCCGTGGAAGGGGCCGTGACAAGTGCCCAGCCCGGACCTGTGGGCGCCGGCCCGGAGGCTGCCGGAGCCGGGGTGGCGGCGGGGGGAGAGGGACAAAGAGGAAGGGGATGCTGGCGGGAGGAAGGGGAGGGGACTGGGAGGAGGTGAAGGGGGTGGGTGGAAGACCTGGGGCCGGGGAGCCGGACTACGGGAAGCCCAGGCCAGAGGGGTGGCCGCTAGGGGGCAGCGTGGAGCGGAAGTCCAGGCTGCTGCGAGCCACAGACTTGGGGCTCCCTTTTGCAAGTTGGCTCCCCTGTTTTTGCAGGCACAACGCTGGTGTGAAGAACTGAAGGATATTTGAGGCAAAAGTGGGCACTCTTACATTTCTGGGTCTGATAATAACGTGAAACTTTAATGAGTTCATAATCTGGGTAAGAGCAGTTATGGCCTGATATCCAGTTCTTACACGGATGTTTGTGCAGGAGACGTGTGCAATTCAAAAAAAAAAAAAAAAAAGGAATAAAATTATCCATAGACCGAGAATTGCTGTTTGTTTCCCATTAGTGTGTTCGTAGTCTCACAGACTTCCTGAGGCACTGCTCATTGGTCTCCGCTTCCTGTAAAGGCTTCTCTAGTTTCTGTCTTAAATATTTGAGTCTTGCTAAGTAGCTCAGACAGTGCACCTTGCAGCTTTCCTCTTGTTTAGCCTGGAGTGTTGGGGTTACAGAGGTGAGCCACTATGTCTCGCTAGTCATGGGGGGGGGGGGTGTTGTTTGTTTTTCGAGACAGGGTCTCTCTGTGTAACAACTCTAACTGTCCTGGAATTTGTTTTGGAGACCAGCCTGGGGCCTCGAACTCACATAGATCCACCTGTCTATTAAAGACGTGTGCCACCACCACGCATGGCGACTGCTAGTCGTGTTTTTATACGTGCCGTAATAAGGAAGAGCAAACCACCACACCCAAATTAATAGATAAGCCAGTGATTTTTGGTAGTGGAGTCCATTGTCAAGTGCTCAGGCACTCCATGGTTATTAAAACGTTTATTGAAAATTCTTAAAACTAAGTATGGAGGTATATGTCTGTGATCCCAGCACTCAACCATTGAGAAGAGCAGGTAGAACAGGCAGAAGCATCCAGGTATTCAAGTCCAGCCTGTGCTACTTGAGCCCCATCTCAGTGAAAGCAACAGTGCTGTCCTTGTGGTCGTGTAGTGTCCCTGTCCGTTCCTCCCCCCCTCTCCGTGTGTCCTCGCCGCCGCCCCTCCCCCCCCTTTTTGTCTTTTTTATCCACCTTCTGATTCCCTGGAGGCGGGCCTGGAAATGTAGCTCAGGGGCAGGTGTGTGTCTGGCATTCCTTTGCCCTGGGTTCTATCCCTAGCTTAGAGGGACTAGAAAGGAAATTTAGGGTACAGATTAGACCAGATTTTGTGTAGATTTTATTGTGGAGGCACACTCTATAAAGGAAGCTAGTTCCCCGTTGTAGTGTTGAGAACGTTGCAGTTGCCTAGATTGGGCCAATGAGATAATTTAGTAGCTAAAAGCTGCCAAGCCTGACAGTTTGATCCTTAGGACAGCACACACTAGCAGGAGGGGACCAACTCCTGTGGGTTGTCTCTGGCCTTCACGCTCTGGTGAGTCAATGCCCACAAAAGTACACACAAATAAATAAGTTTTGTTTTTTTTTAGTTTTTTGAGACATGGTTTCTCTGTGTAACAAACAGCCCTAGCTGTCCTGGGAACTCACTCCGTTGACCAGGCTGGCCTTGAATTCACAGCTCCACCTGCCTCTGCCTCCCAAATTACAGGTATGCACAACCACCTCCTGGCTATTACTTAAAAAATTTTAATTACTTTACATTTAAAGTAAATTTTAAAAATTACTTAATTTTTTTTTACTTACAGTTTATGTGGGTGCACATACACACATTTGTACTTGTGTAGGTCAGAGACAGCTTAGAGGATTCAGCTCCCCATGATGTGGAAACTGGGGATCCAGCTCAGGGTCGTCATGCTTAAACATCTTCACCCTCTGAGCCATGTATCTCAGTGGCCCCAAAATACTGTTATTTATAGGTGCATTTTAACTTAGGTAGGTGCTGGGGGCTGGAGAGATGGCTCAGCGGTTAAGAGCATTGCGTGCTCTTCTAAAGGACCTGAGTTCGATTCCCAGCAACCACATGGTGGCTCACAACCATCTGTAATGAGGTCTGGTGTCCTCTTCTAGCAGGCATATATGCAAACAGAATATTGTATCTATAATAAATACATAAATATTTTAAAAAAAAACTTAGGTAGGTGCTTCAGGTAAATCAGGAGTGACAGGATAGGAAAGGAGAGCCAAAAAGAACAGATTTCTTGGAGGCCATTTTTACCAGAATACAAGTAGAAACCAAAGACATTCCCGCAAGTAACCAAATATAAGAACGGGTTTCCCACCAGGCCGTCATGATGCACGCCTTTAATCCCAGCACTCAGGAGGCAGAGGCAGGGGGATCTCTGAGTTTGAGGCCAACCTGGCCTGTGGAGCAAGTACCAGAACAACCAGGGTTACACAGAGAAACCGTGTCTTGGGGGGAATAATTTAAGACAGGGTTTCCTGGTTTGAAACAGGATTTTGTGACACTTAGGCCAACCTCCAACTCACCATCATCCTGGCTCAGGATCCCAGCTTGGTGGGGTTGCCTGCAAATGTCATCATGCCAGGGGGACTGTTTTTACTCCTCCCCTTCACCATGCTTGTCTCTAAACAGTTTTCACTGAAGACAGCTTGGCGATATCTGATGATCTCAGCTGTCCCTCTTACCATGGTGATCGCTTCAGATTGGTCTGATCCCACGTTGGGAGAGGGACAGATGTCAAGGAGTTGTACCAATAAAACCTTGATAGTTTTAAGCAGATAAAAGGTACAGACGGAGTGGCTTTTTAGATCAGGTCTTCATGGAATCTACTCTTGTGTTTGAGTTCAGTCTCTCCTGTGGGGTAGTCCCAGCTTCTCAGAAATGCTTTTCACTCTTTTGTTGGAGGTTGTTCTTCTACAGAATGCTAACAGCCAGCCATTAAAAAGCTTCACAAAAATCCAGTCAGCAAGAGCAAATGTTGAGTGAAACTAGCTTGAAGATTAAGTGTTGTTTATAGGAGTACTCTTTAAGTGACCAGTGCCTTTAATTATTAGAGGCACTGCTTGGAGTGCACATTGTTAGGGCACGTCTAATTATCTTTGTTTAAAGCGACTAACTAGTCAGTACAATTAGGAGCACATGAGCACAGGTCTGGGAAAAGGAAGCACCACTAGCAATTCTAGTGTAGGCCTCAAGCTGTTGACCCCAAGCTGTTGGCTCCTAAACCATGCATCTGAGCTTATCCAATACAGCAGGCATATAAATATATTTAACATGTAAAGGAGACAGCAACATTTGGCACCATTGCACAGAACTGTACAGAAATCTTTCCTATAGTAGCACAACTTCTGCTCATTAAACAAAATGTAGACTCTGTAGTTCCCTAGGTCTACCACACCAACAAATCCAATGTTAGACCCTCACAAATTTAGTAATTTAGCGACACCTGACCACAGACTCATTTCTCTGTGTGTTTTATTTGTACAAAATGAAATATTTTCATTCTGAGACCAATAGATGGCTTCAAAGATCAGGATTACCCAAATGGCACACTTTTTATTGAACGGGTTTGTTTGGTTATGTAGGAGTGCTTTGTCTACAAGTGCAAGAAGAGGGCAATCTCATAGATGGTTGTGAGCCATCATGTGAATATTGGAAATTGAACTCAGAACCTTTGGAAGAGTAGCTAGTGCTCTCTCTCTCTCTCTCTCTCTCTCTCTCTCTCTCTCTCTCTCTCTCTCTGTGTGTGTGTGTGTGTGTGTGTGTTTCGAGACAGGGTTTCCTGGAACTCATTCTGTAGACCAGGCTAGCCTCAGACTCACAGAGATCATCCTGCCTCTGCCTTCTGAGTGCTGAGATTAAAGGCATGCAACACCACTGCCGACCCAGCCAGTGCTCTTAACCTCTGAGCCATCTCTCCAGCCCAAACAGTATTGATTTTATGTGTATGAATGTACATGTAACTATGGGGTATGTGAGGAATCCAAAGACAGCTTTCCAAGTCAGGTCTCTTCTACCGTAAGGGTCCAAGAGACTGAATTCCATTAAGCTTGCAGCAAGTGCTTTTACCTTTTACCCACTGAGACTTCTTTTCTGCCATTGAGCAGTGCTGATTAAAAATATCAGAAACGAGCTGGGAGGTGGTGGCATATGCCTTTAATCCGAGTTCTCGGGAGGCAGAGGCCAGAGGATCTCTGTGAGTTTGAGGCTAGCATGGTCTACAGAGTGAGTTCCAGGACAGCCAGGGCTACACAGAGAAATCCTGTCTCAACCCCCTCCCTATATCTATCTGTCTGTCTATCTATCTATCTATCTATCTATCTATACACACCACATACACATGCATACACATATATCAGAGACAAGATGGGGTTGGGGCTCACACCCTTAATCCTAGCAGCTGGAGAACAGGGACAGGAGATCTCTGAATTCAAGACCATCAAGGGTTTCTTAGTGAAACTTTGTCCTGACAAAACCAAACAAAAAAAGCCTAAAAAATCAAAGAATTTCATTAGCTATCCTACATGTTGGCAGCCCAGACATGATGCCCATTGTATAATACAGATCAGCTAGCAGTCATTTAGCACATTCTAAATTTACATGTATTTTACTCTTCAAATGTCTACATAATATATGTAGGTTCCACTCTACATGTTTAAGTCACAAATATGTAGATTAGTAAATGTACCAAAATCACCTTATATTTAAAATCACTTTGCTTTCAAAGAGGTCATTAAAAGACAGAAACAGAAACATAAAGGAGCTCTGACTTTTTGCTAAGGTGTGTTTGTTTGTTTTTGAGACAGGGTTTCTCAGTATAGCTCAGACTGCCCTGGAACTCACAGTCCATGGTGGCCTTG